GAGAGAGAGAGAGAGGAGGAGGACGGCAAAGAAATGGAGGAGAGGCATTTGGAAAGATGTGAACAGAGGGTGAGAGAAAACAAGAAAAACTGCTTCATTAAACTGAGCCCTCTGGTCAGATACTGTCTGATAATAAAGACTTTGAAGATAGTACAACAAAACTTTCCCTGTATCCTCTCCTTTCTCTCCGTCCTCTCTCCATCTGGCCTGTTTATTAACCATCTCTATCCTTCACAGAGGGTTACAAACATACATACATACCTCTTAATCAGATAACAGTGATCAGATTCTTTATGTTAAGAAGGGAAAAATCAGATTGCTTCCAAATAATCTGTGGCTGTTTGTAGGCAGAGCTGAGTCGGTGACTCAGTGTCTAGTTTTAGCTCTTGATGAAATGTGTATGAGTGACACAGCTCTATTCTTATTTTTGAATGCATTTATTACATTAGCAGATGTTGCTGGGACTACTATATACTGAGGCTTTATAATCATTTCAGATGTTTCAGACATCAGGAACGCTGCTTTTGAAATTTTAGTTTTAAGATTAAAATGTGAGAAATCATATCTTCATCTGATTATAAAACAATAAAAATGATAACTTAGTTGTCTGTAATTATTTATGGATAGCCTGTCAATAATATAGCTTGGCTTTAAGAAATGTATAACTTTAGGTTCAAGTTAATATATAACATTTTGTATATGCCTTCAATTAGTCACATAATTTCTAAAATTCAGCACACGAGCAAGCTGTATATAAGGATTGCATCTGCTAGGAAGTGGTATGGATGGCATAGCAGGAATTTAGTTTAAATATACCAGCTATTCTAAACATAATGCTTCTATAATCAGTATTTTTATTGGTTTTATTTTAATGGCTCAAATGACGTGTGAATGTGAATGTGGTTTCTCATACCGACAGAGCGACAAACCCACAGTGAATTATCACACTGCTCGGTTCAACTCCACAGACTTTTTTATCACCACTTTACCATTTAAATCATTGTTTTGGTTTTCCAGCATGTAGCTTTACTGCTCTGGTTGACTGTGACAACTCCTATCAGCGTTCAAACAACTAAGCTGTAAAAACCCACCTGCTCAGTACCAAATGGCGGACAGACAAATTAGCGACTAGCTGGTGAACATACAGATATTTTTATGAGTAGGTGCAAAACAAAATAGAGCTAAGGACACAAATATATTGGACTTTTATTCATCAGTTGGATATAAACTCCAATCCAAATATAAGCTAATGCTGCTCCTAAGAAACTGTTTGCTAACAAGTTAGCTATATTAGTTTAAATGTGATAATATGTCAGTCTTTTTACAGCTTGTGGCAGAATTATCACTTAATGAAGCTTTAAGTTTGTAGTTTCCCAAGTGTGAACCTATTATGATGCCACTCATTGGTTTCTTGAGTACCGTTGGTATTATGGTTGTTGACATGTTGGGGTTGTAGCCAGCGCTCATTGGCTGGTTGCTTAGTTTTGACTCGTTCGGAGCAGGAAAGAATGGCAGCCTCACGTCACACACATTCTCATTTTACAAATAAACAGTACACTAAAATAGGTTTCTAAAAAGATTTAAGGCGAAAAAAAGGCAATCACAAGGTAGACGCCCAATAGCATACCCTGCTATATCATCCATTTACTCCAAATGGGACCATCATTTACTAAATGAATATGCCGTATGGAAGAAGACTTGAAACTAGCGATTGAGACCATAAATTAATTAGGAAACTGTTTACTGAGCTAATAAATCAAGTATAAATTTGTGTAATTTTCCCATAAGACTCAGTACTATCAGTTATTTTTTTACAGCCCATAGAGCTGCACCCTGCTGGCAGTTACAAATAATGTAGATATTCCAGTGTCAGCTTAACTTCACAGACTTGGAAGCTTTGTCCAGTAATTATATACTGCCAATGGCCATTCCATGATACATAAAATATATTTCCTGTCAGAATTTTTTTTTAGAATAGGTTGCCTTGTGCGAAAATTGCTAAACCATTTAAGAGGATAATGTACTATTTAGATTATTTAGAACTTCTTTTGTATTTTTAAATAGGCTCATATTGCAGTCTGGGATTGTGAACAGATTCTTGGAATGTTTGACCATTTCAACAAGTGTGCCATCCAGTACAAGTAGCCTCTTTGAGACCCTCTGTTTGGTGAAGATAATAATTTCTTCGTCTCTAAAGAGCAGCCATGCCTGAAGAGCTTGTGTGTGGGCTAAATAGGCCACTTGAGTGTAGTTTGTACTGTAGTTTCATTTGTATACAAGGAGAAAAAGAGAGGAGACACAGCCGCGCAAAGCCCCTGTGAGCAGATCAGATATCACTCCACTGACACAGACTCTCTTTGGGAGACTTGAAAGAAAATCTCTTATTCAGACTATCAGGCTAGCGTTAAGCCCGGGATCAATGAGCTTTTCCAAAAGGATATCTGTTTTCTTTGAGTTACAACCTGAGCTGAAAGCTAAAAATTTGGAGAAGAAAATGTTTTGTGTTGTTTCTCCAGTTCTCTTCGATCACCCACCTCCATCCTTTTTCCAGCATTCGAAAAAACAACAAGGATACTCAAAGCCTCTAGACTGAGAACATGTTATGGGTAAGATCAGATGAAGACCAGGAAAACTGCCAAAGGTGTGAGTAAAATCAGTTCAGAGTATATTTTTGTTTTCTCTGGTCTCTGTTTGTGTATTTTGGCTTCTCTCCCTCACACACACACTATCTATGCTTCTGAACAACTTCACACACACCTTTACAGTAACTCCAGGGTCTCCTCCGTGTCTAGCAACGGTCAATTTCAAGGAGCCACAGTTTTCAAAGCACTGGTACAAAGAGGGTTCAAACTCCATCCTGATGGTGTGAGGGTCATCCTCCGTGGCCTGAGTCTCATGGCTGCTCACCACCTGGAAAAAACAGGCAGGCAAAAAGCAGACGTATCAGGTCAGAGTCAGGTACGGCGTGTTTTTTGGCTGCGAGTAACGGGCCCAGTTGTAATGAGGGCGGATTATGTGTATCTCACCTTGCGAGCCTGGTCGGCAGCGTGCTTCTTGAGGATGTTGCCAGCTCCGATCATCATCCTGGTTGCCTGGATACGGTAAAATGCTCTGCTCTTCTGCTGCTGCATCAGGACCTGACCAACAAAACCAACCAATTAACAAAGTGATCTGTTCTATTCAACATGTTAATCTATTTAAACTTATTAGATATTTTTAGACAGCTACAGTTTTAAGGTTAAGCAGTGAATCTCTCTTGGGCAATTCTTAAGTCTTCACAGGGAGGTTAGAGGTCAAAGGTCAGCTACAGATTCAGTGAGTTACTTAAGGACACTTCAAAGGGTTGGATGCTTGAGGTTTGAACCCAGATCCTACACTTCTTGTTTCTCTAAGCACTGAGGAATGATTTGACATTTTAGCCATCCACTTCCTCCACTTCTTCATAATGGACAAAACTGTAGCTGCCGCTCTTGTAGCTGCAAACTTTAGATCAAATGAGCCTTATGAATCTGTTAGTAATGACTTCAATAAAAATGTATGGATGAGCAGCAATTCAATATCCTAATGATCCACCAAATAGAAACTGAACAAATTGGCCACTGTAGTTGTGGAGATCATTAGATTAACTGTGGCCTCAGAGCTGGGAATGCTGTGATTTATTTGAAATAAAGGCAATTTCACTCCAGAGTCCGTATAAGATCTGCATCTCTTTGGAGGGATGGCTTCAGTAATTGTTACATTAGTTAAAAACTTGATTTGTTTCTGCTGAGCAAGTTGACCTAACTTAATGAAAGTCTGATTCTAAGTCCAAGGGGACCACAGGGGATTACTATTTCTTTTTATTCAATGATTCATTATGACCACAAGAACCTTAATTTATCCAGTGGAGTTTAATCTCCAGAGCAGCTGTCATTCTTATTTACAGCACAAAGCTGAGAGAGTAGCTGCAGGGGACAGAAAATTAAATGCAAACAAACATCTGGGAGTTGCCCATTGCACCTTGCAGTGCCTGCCAACCTCCTTTGCTTCCCTCCTTCACTCCCCCCAAAGAAATTACTTGGAGAGGAGGCAAGGGAAGGAAGAGGAGGAAGCAGAGACTTGGACAGCTTCTATAATTCAGTATGAATAATGGATTAAATAGAAGAATTAGTATTCATAAAATAAACATGTTTCTACATTTTAAATTAAGTATGAGTAAATCTTGTAACAAAGAGGTGTGTGTCTATGACAGCCATCTAGTAGCAGCTCATTTCTTTTAGCCAGGGTTGAGAACAGATTAACCAACTAGTCGATTAATCTGAGTGTGACGCACTGACAATTGAAACTCAACTATACTAACTTCAATTTAGAACAATGCACAACACACTCGCTTATAAATATGATTTAACAAATTGCAAATCTAAATTCCCCAAAAAATCTTAATTTAAGGTCCTCTTGAGCTTGTCCTCAGAGCTTTTAACCACATCGGCAGATGCAGCTGAAAGCTCAGGAAAGAAGGTAATAAGTGGACCTTACGTTAAACATTTTTTGTCAAGCTACAGCTGCCAAGTTCAAGACTGAACTTTCATGCTCACATAACTAACGATTATGAAACTTACCTGATAAAAAATCCCCTGGGTGGCAGAGGGGTTGCATGTTACGGTGCTGTCAATCAAGCCAATTGACACCTTCCTCTCTTCAGACTAGTGATTTTATCAGCACATAACATTACTGTACATGAGGAGTGACCTGAAAAACTAAACTAAACTAATTTATTTACTCAGTTTTTTTGTTAATGGGTGTGAGAAAGACTAAAAAGGAGTGTATTGCTATCTGACACTCAGCCAACACTTTAATTAACTTTGTTTATATTTGGTGCGCGTGTTTGGTTTGGTTTCCATTTTCTGGAAATAAATTAGATTAGATGAGATGGATGAAGAGGTTAATTCTAATCAAATTTACAAAGGCAATGTAATGAATAGTAATGGAAATGCAATCAATTTGTTAAACAACTAAGTTGCTCAGGAACATTCTGAAATGTTCTCTGTATAACAGCTGCATGCTGTCCTACCAGCTATCACCTAAAACACCTTATTTACAACTGAATGTGTGACAGCACCATCTCCAGCACTGTCTCCCTCAGAGGAGTGGCAGTTGAAATGTGACAGATGATGTTATATTTTACATGATTTCATTATGTAAAATATAACTCTTTTTATATATATATATACATATATATATTATATACATTATTATATATATATATATA